CCCCACCTTTGCCCTTTCCCCATACGTCCCTTTTTATTTCCTTTCTTTTTTTTTCATTCTCTCTATCTCTATATTTTCTTTCATTTTCTTTCCCTCTATTCCTTTTTTTTCTCTCTATTGTTTCCTTCTCAGTTTTTTTCTTCTTTCGTCCTTTTTTTTTCTTTCTTAACCTTTATTCCTCTCAAGTTTTGTCCGTTTGCTGGTTCAATTCTATCATTCTTTTTTTTTCCACCTACTTGTATTTTCACTATTGAATAGCTCTGTTTGGTTATTCTCCACCATGTCTCTGTTCCTATGTTTGACTATTTAAAGACAAAATTCGAACAAGTATGTGTGTCATGGCGTGGTGGAATCAGGCTCTCGTCAAAATTATCAAAGTGAAGAAACTTGCATTTTCCCACAGGTTTGTGAATTTTTATAAAAATTTTGTTTTTTGGCTCAACACCTTTCATGCCCATTAAAGAACTCATTTCTGTGTGGATTTTTTTTTAAACGTCGATTAAAGGAACAAAAAATTTAAATTTTCAGTTACCACGAACTCTTAAGCTAAGGAAATAACAAATCTTTGGCGGCCATTTTCTCACTAATTTTACCTCTGAAAATAGATGACCCCCACCTCCTTCATTCTCAAATGTATCGACTTGTATTCAAGAAAAACGGATATTTTTTTCATCCAAACAGCTTTAAGATGATACCAATAACTCTATGTGCTCAAAAATTGACGAGAGCCTGATTCCACCACGCTGCCTCACATATGTATGCATGCTCTTCTTTCCTTCCTTCTTTCTTTCTTTCTTTCTTTCGCTTCCTTTCGTTTTTCCTTTCTTTCTTTCCTTCTTTCTTTCTTTCTTTTTTCCTTCTTTCTTTCTTTCTTTCTTTCCTTCTTTCTTTCTTTCTTTTTTTCCTTCTTTCTTTCTTTCTTTCTTTCTTTCTTTCTTTCTTTCTTTCTTTCTTTCTTTCGCTTCCTTTCGTTCTTTCTTTCTTTTTTTCTTTCCTTTTTTCTTTCTTTCCTTCCTTCTTTCTTTCTTTCTTTCTTTTCTTCTTCTCCCCTTTCTCTCATTCTATCTTTTTGTACTTTTGTCTTCTTTTCTCTTTGCGTCTGTCAACCTTTATGCCTTTTTTGTCGTTGCATTCCATCCCTTTTCTGTTTTTGGTTGTTTGGTTGGTTGGTTGGTTGGTTGGTTGGTTGGTTGGTTGGTTTGTTGATTGATTGGGGTTTGTTTTGGGGTTTTAAAAAAAAAAATTGGGGGGAGGGGGTATTTATTTATTCTTTATTTTTTATGTTGGTTTAAAAATAATAAT